TCTTCAGCGCAGCAGGTAAGAACCCAATCTTGTATCTCTCATCTCCCTCTCTCTCTCTCTCAATCTTCTTCTTCGCCGTGGTCTCTGACTGCAGGTGCGCAGCGGCTTCCTCAACCCAAGGTCCGCTATGGCGGACTGCCTCCTTCGGTCACCACCTCAACCATGGCGCATCGGCCCTGCACACGACGGCGCGCGTGGAACAGCGGGTACCAGCTCCGATACCAGTGTAATCAGACTCGACTTATTCACTCTGTTCATGCATGTAAACAGCGATACAGTAAACTGGCGACAAGCGCCCACACAGTACTCAGAGATATCGTAACCATATAAAAGTTCTCTTGTAATTGGCTATGGCGACTGTGCGCCCAAACAACTCATTGTTCACACTCTGGATCACCCTGGATGTCCCACGCACATCACTCTGAACGCACACACAGTACACACATACTGCACTCTACACTAAGCTATGGCAGCTATGGCTGCCGCTACCTATCACTATGTCTACCCTGCTTCACTCTCGCCCACTTCGTCTTCGGGCCTCCTGCAGACCTCCTTGCACTAGACGCTGAGGCAGCGCTACCGCATGGCTTCCGCATGAATGAATGAATGGCTGGACGCAGCCTCTTGATTTATACTTATGTGCCTCGCTGGTCTGCCCTATGTCCCCTGGCCCACCGTGCACACAGTCCCAGACGGTACTTGCTTGACTAGACTGGACTGGGTGGACTGGGACTGCTGACTGTACGAGGTGGATTGCCACCACTTGACCACTTGCCTCTGTCTAACGTAGGCTGACTCCGAAAGGCCACTTCTAGAACTCTTTGTTTTGGCCTTTCGATACTGTACCAGCTACGACTTTGCCCTTTCAGGTAAGTAGCAGCTACGACCTTGACCCTTTGGACAATCTACAGCTATGACCTCTAGACTGTCTAGACTTCTACCCGACAGGTCTACAGTTCGAATCTCCTCTACCCTGTAACCTACGAAATCCTACCTACCACTGGCGGTCCTACAGGTCGCAGGTTCAAATCTACGGGTTGACRCTGGTACTGTACACAGGTAAGATGGGGAACTAGGGATCGAGCCCTGGGATCTGCATCAGCTACTGCGAACTGGTGAATACCGTTTCAAACATATAAATATAGAAATATAGAAAGTCTTATTCCTTTGTTCACATTATAATCCTGCGGCCTCAGACTTAGACCATTCATCTTAGAAACAATATCCAGTCTTTGGTATGAACCTCCCCTCAGAATAAAACAACAAAAAGAGTTGAGCCATTCGTCTTAGAAACAATGCTCAACCCTCTTTTCTCAGCACTGAAAAAACAGAGTACTCTGGGTCAAGACCTAGAGACTGTTCAGAAACCACCCAAAAATAAACAGCGACCAGACCATTCATCTTAGAAACAATGTCCGGTCCTCAAAATTTGCACAATCAATACCCCATAGAAACAACAACCAGGCCATTCATCTTAGAAACAATGCATGGTTAAATTAAGTAAACATAGCGACCAAGCCATTCATCTTAGAAACAATGCTTGGTCCTTCAGAAAACAGAACAAAACACAACAGTCAAGCCATTCATCTTAGAAACAATGCCTGACCCTATAAGACCCGTTCAAGCATAAGCAAGACTGCCTTCCTCCCAACCTTTCCCCTGATGCAACCCCCTTTTGCAATGTGCTTTCAGACAAACAACAAAATTGAAACTGAGATTGTGCATGCATTCCTTTACTTCGTCTGGTTCGTGTCCTGAAAGTCAAACCCAAAGTCAACATAGGATGCATGCAGTATACTCAATCAAACATAGCAAGGAGTATAGATAGGGGTTATAACTGGGTTTATAAGGGGAGTCAGGAAGTTACCACTCAGTTCCCTGCCTCCAGAACTCCTCCTGAGTTCCGGCAGAGCTCCCGCAATCGATGGGGTAACCTCCCATGAAGGCCTTGCTGCGGTCCTACGGGTTGCAATCCCGCCTGCCGCCTTCCTCTCAGAACAGGATTAGACTTTGACTTAAAAAGGCAGAATAAGGGGTCTTAGACTCTTGAGATACAAGAGGGGGACAACTCAACTCTCAGGAGAGGGCCTTGTTGCCTTGATTGCCTGAGGGCCCCGCAATGGCGGCCAAAAGTGCGCCGCAACTTGGTTAACTGTAGGCTATTGTTGACTCTCAGACAACCCTTCAAATCGCCGTAATACACTCTCTTCACAAGCCTCGATCGTTCCTTTCGTTACACCACCCTCGCTTCTAGTCGAGGTTGCGGCCACGCAGCCTTAGCAAAGCTTCGATCAAGCCGCTTCCATCCTCCCCTACTTCCATTCACGATACAGGCAGACCACAACACTGCAGCAACACACCCGATGCATTCAGGAGCGACACAGGCCTAGTAACAACTTCCAGTACTGGCCGGCTGCGAAAATACAGCACGCCCGACAACGAATAAACTTGTCACTTCGCAGTTGACCCCCTCGCTACTCCTATTATCTTCGCTTGATACGATGGGCGGCACCCAGGCCAACAACCAAGCCTTTATCCTTTGACTGGTTTTCCCGTTACTCAGACTGGCGAGATAGACACGCTGGTTGACAGGTAAGTCTCTATCCTCGCCTTCCTTCTCTTGCCACTCCCTATAAAGAAATGAGTGGCGCACCTGTCAATAGGCAGTTCTCTCCTTGTTTTTTTTGTGTGCGTGAGTGTCCGCCCCCATTGTGCTTTGCGATCCCCGACGCCTGGATGCGCCTAACCGCTGGCTCGGTCCCTCTTCTCAACCACAAGGTCGTCCCCTTTTGCAGGTAAGTGTCAACCCTTCTCAGCCTCCCTCCACACTTGGCTAGCTGTTCGGCCAAGTTCATTTACCGAAGCCGTACCTCCGCAGAACGACAAAATTGTGGAAGCACCTTACCCCGTTGTGGTCAATAACACCTCGAGGCCGGCCTATATGCCCGAGACGATCATGATGGCGGGCACTACTATCCGGAGGAGCATGATCTCTGCCACTACGAAGGGGAGCAATGTCACATTCCGAGGAGCACCCGCGGATCCTATGCTGCATATCGCGGTCATCTAAACGAGATTTTCCACGTAAATGCGAATGTGTCTGTCACGGCCCTACCGTGCGTGTTGAAAGATAGAGAGAGCATACTCCCATCAGTAGGATGATCAACGCTCAAGCCAATAGGTAAGTCGTTAACCCCTGTGGCTGACCCCACGATACTTCCTTCGACAGGTTGTATGAGGATCGGAATGAACCTCCCCCTAAATCGAGGAAGATACATCGCAGTTTCAGCTCTAAACGCCGAAAAATAAGGAGATGCTACATCCACCGCTGCCCCAAGCATGCACCCGCCAAGAGGTAAGTCTCCAATCCGGCGGCGGGGCTTCACATCTCTTCCATCACTGGGATAAACAAAATCGACTGAATCTTCCGTTAGAACCCGGAAAGATACATTGCCATTTCAAAAATCCCCCTTCTTCGGCCGCAACTCTCGATCCTCGTACCGCCTAATCCACGCATTATCTTTCGGATCCGACTTTGCCATCGGATTCGCCCATCTTCAAAAACCCCGACTAGTACCTCTTCTCCCTCACTTTCATCGTCTTTAC